GCGCGGTCCTCCGGAAGCGCAGGCCTGGGGGCCTCGTCTGTTGCGAGAGCGCCTGACGTGGCCCGGCCTCCCTCCATCCTGAGCTCCGCCTGGGCTCCGGTCACGTCGCGGGGCGCGGAGGGCGGCACGCTTGCTTAGAGGCGCGGGCAGCCGCCCACGGCGATACGGAGGGCTTCGCTCTTCCCCGGAGTCTCTGTGTTGAGGTTCTCTGCTCGCACCCGGGCATCCCTGCGCTTGGTTCCGCAAGAGGACGCCGCGTACCTGCAAGGCGTGCCGTGGGCTCCGTGTCTCCCCTGGCCCTTTGAGCGTGTTTCTTCCTTTTCTCCCTAAGGCCACGCGGAGCCCAAACCCTCCACATTCCCACGCACCAGATGCCGTTCCCGCGGTCGGGGCGTGGACCCCGGGTGCTAGTGCTGGGAGGGAAGGCCCATCCTTTCAGGGGGAAGAAGAGTTCCCTCCATCGACCCTCATGTTTGTTGACCGTTTGAACTCCCCTGTCAGGATGGTTTTGTTTCGCTTCCTTGTGGCCGGTGTTTTCTAGAACACAGCCACGAGCGCACAAGGAGAAGGAAGGCTTGAGGCGTGGATGTTTACTAATTTTCCAGTTTGTGCTTTTTAATCACGGCGGAAGGAACTGTTAGGAATAATGTGAGATGGCATGTAACGTGTTTCTGTTTCTTTCCGCTTGACAACAGGGGTAGGGTCAGCTGGAGGTGAAGCAGAAGCTTCCAGGTCGATAGGGTGGCTCCGATTATCGTAAAGTACAGCTGTCTGAGCTTAGTCTGTGATCGTTTTAAACAACGCTTTCTCACCACCCGCACTTTGTTCCGTTGTGGGGACCAGAACTGCCACTGATGATGATGTGGTTCCATAATCACGGGGAAGAAAGGGGCTGCAGATGTGGTCTCCTCAATCCGCAGTCGGCGGGTTTGCCGTCTTCTTTGACAGGGAGTTGAACTGTAGTTTCTTGGAAACCACCGTTTCCAGGTTATTGCATTTTGGGGGAGCCCTTGTTCTTGGGGGCTCTGTAGGAAAGGACGTTTCGGGCCAGTGGGTCGAGTTGTGGCTGCTTGGAGGTGCGCGTCTCTGGACAGACGGCATGCGTGAGTGTGCGGCTTGAGCGCTTCTGGACCAGGTGGCCAGGCCCTGTCCACCTGTCATGGGACTGCAGAGACGTGGGTCCCGTGCTCTCTTTGGGGGAGACGCCTGGCCCTGCTCTCAGACCCTCTTGCTGTGCAGGTGTCCTGGGGTTGGCTCTCCAGGCCGCCGTCCCCGAGAGGCTCTGGGTCTCATGGGACGGTGTCCGTTCTGTGTGCCCTCAAGGATGCAGTTTCAGGGGCCAGCTCTGCATGCTGACAAAACGGAACAGCCACACTCCGGGGGCTCAGCAGAAACCATAACCTCAACCCTGCCACCCAGCTCTCGCCAAATTCCGCGGAAAAAATGTTCATGGAAAAGCGCCTTAAAGCCAAGCCGACGTGTCGGTTTTCTCTTGCGTCCAGCTGCTCGCGATGGGTTGAGGCTGACAGAGCGCTCAGGGACCCCTCGGGAGGACACCTGGGGCTCGGCGGGAGGACGGCCGTGGTGCCCGAGCCCTGTCTGCTGTGATGAGGGAGGAGGGCAGGGGGCGTCTCTGCAGACTCTCCCTGAGTTCAGCCAGACCAGGAGGGAACTTCCCCTATGCGGCACCATTTTCCAGCCTCACACAGAGCTGCCACTGGCCCTGTGAAATCTGTTGCTGTACTTACGATCAAAAATGAAGCTAAAGATGTTTTTTCACTAAGTCACAGGGAGAGCTCTTCACAGTAGGAAGTCCTCTTACACTTCAGAACAACACACAGCATGTGCTTTTCCCAGGAAACTGCTGTGCTTTTGTCTTAAAGACACAGAACCAAGTCGCCCAGGGACCTGCAAACTTTTTCCCGTGAAGGGCCAGGTAGTGGATACTTCACCGTGTCACAGCTGCTCAGCGCTGCTGTCGTGGCCTGAGAACAGCCATAAATAATATGTAAATGATAGACGTGGCTGTGTTCCAGTAAGGCTTTATTTACAGAAACAGATGGTGGGTGGACGCGACCGGCGGGCCGTAATATTTTAGGCACCAGTAAGTGATTCTCTCTTTCCACTGAGTGCGGGGAAGCTTGGGAAGCTTGGAAAG